CCCCCCGTCTTACAGGGATGAGTGCATGGGCCCGGGTTCAGTTCACAGGGAGATCCATGGGCCCCAAACTTAGTTCTGATCCCCATTGTAGTCTTTGGGAGGCAAACCTTGTTACTTTTTGGCCCATTTTGCAAGGCCGATAGCCAAGTTTATTGTTGGGGGGCATTGGGGAGCCGGGCACTGCCGCGGGGGATATGTACCACTGTACAAAACCTAAAATGTGGGGGGAGGGTCTTTACATGCAGCTTGAAGGGAAACACAAATCCATGAGGGGTACCTTTTAAATCTGCCCGCGGTGTTACAGAAGAATACAATGTAGACCTTTAAAAGTTACATTAAAAAAAAATGGTGTGGGGTTCCACTTAAAATTCCACCCAGACCCTTATCCAGGCAAGCAACTCGTTTGGCCAATAGAGAGGGCAGAGAGCATGTGGCTCCCCTTTCTTGTACCAGACAGGGCCTGAACTAGACTATCCGCCCGGGTATGTGGTAGGTGGAACTTTTTTCAATGAACCCCCAAAGTGTGACACGATGCCAAACATCCTGAGAAATAAAACAAGGGCCCATTCCAATTTCCTAACACGCATCATGTGATAAAAAAGGGGCCCCGTCCTTTTTTTGGGACATCAGGATTGCGTTGGCAGTCCGTTCATTTCAATGGCCTGCCTTGCACCTATTGCACTGCGACGTGATGCCTGTTACGGAACCATTAAATGGGCCCTTTGGGTTTATTGGCACTTTAACAGTTGCTTAAAATAAAGGATAAAGAACTGGTGGCGAGGGTGACCCTACACGCCCGTGTATCTGATTGGGGGGGGGTAACAAACAGCACATCTTGTTCCCGCAATGCTGAATAGAGAAACGCGTTCCACCTTCCAGCTAACACAACTGGGAGATCCGATTGTACTTGAAGGTCAGAGCGGAAATCGGAGCCTCTCGGCTTTTAAAAAGGTGAGTGACCTCTTAATATACAGTACTCACTACAGCCAAATCTATCAGTCCTATCCGCTTGTTGTTCTTTGTATAAGAGCGCCATCTTCTGGTGGTCTCAGGAAGGGAGTATGCACAGAAACATGTGACAAGAGGATGCAGTCCCGTTCAAAAGCATTGTGAAAATCCTACTGAATCGTGCTTGTATAGAACTAGATTGCATCCAGCCATTCACTAGAGGATTTTCCTGGTTGTGGGAAGAAGAGAAAAAGAGAGCGGAGTAAGTCACCGGGGTTCCCCCTGTGACTTCCTCCGGGGTTCCCCCTGTGACTTCCTCCGGGGTTCCCCCTGTGACTTCCTCTGGGGTTCCCCCTGTGACTTCCTCTGAGGTTCCCCCTGTGACTTCCTCCCAGGTTCCCCCTGTGACTTCCTCCAAGGTTCCCCCTGTGACTTCCTCCGAGGTTCCCCCTGTGACTTCCTCTAGGGTTCCCCCTGTGACTTCCTCAGGGGACACTTTTTGCAGACCCATATGGATAGTCAGATAGTGATGTCATCGCTGTCCTCGCAGGTACAATGTGTCCGTTCCGTCACCTGACCGGGGAGAAGACGGTGGTCTGCAAACACTGGCTGAGGGGGCTGTGCAAGAAGGGGGACCAGTGCGAGTTCCTGCACGAGTACGACATGGAGCGCATGCCCGAGTGCTACTTCTACTCCAAGTTTGGTGAGGATCGGGAAAGACAAAGATTAATGCAACTCTGTATTCATTGGTACATCCTTATTTTTCTATGCAAGCATTATAAGCAGGGGCGTAACTAGAAATCACAGGGCCCCATAGCAAAATGTTGTATGGGGCCCCGTGATTGCTAGTTATGCCACTTGCAGAGCCCACCTGATATACCAAACAGCCCACCTGAGAGTGACCCTGCAGAGCCCACCATAGACTCTCTATAGTGGGCTCTGCAGGGCCTCAGATGCGCTGCACACCTCTTACCTATCAGCGCTGTCCGCCTCTGTGGTCGCCGGCCCAGCCTCCTCTTCCAGCCCCGGGGCCCTGCCTCCTATCGACGTGCCCCACCTACTCTTACTTCACGGGCCCTACCTGCTCTTAGGTCGCTGGCCAATGATGTAAGAGGAGGCGGGGTTGCTCTTAGGCGGGCCCCGCCTCCTCCTTCACTGCGAACGCCGGCCTCTTCTGCCGTTGCTGCTGGCTGTCACTGACTCTGTGAGGGGAAATGCCGTTGCTGAGCCGTGTCAGTGACAGCCAGCACCCTTACATGCTGCCATAGCGGCCCACACGGCATCAGAGGGATGCCCTGACCGGGCCCCCCTGTGCCCCCGCCTGGGTCGCTATGGCGATTGTTACGCCACTGATTATAAGCACCTGAATATGACCTGGTATCAGCCTCTTGTTTCCCCAGTACAGCAGAGCTCAGGCTGAGAGGGGGGGAAGCAACTTGCAGTTTTGTTTTGCCAGCGTGCGGATATCTGGACTACTGGGACTTGTAGTTCCATATTGGCTGTGTGCTGCTATCTGGACACTCAGATTGCTGGGACTTGTGGTGCTACCCTGACGCGTGTTATTGGGCCGGCATGGGATTATTTTGTGAATGGTTGGAACTTTTTCCCCTCCGTCCTTCCTGGTCCCTCCGGCCCTTATCGCCTCAATAAACGCCCCCCATATCAGGTCCTCTGCGCTCTCTCTCTCTCTCTCCCCCTCCTCTCTCTCTCTCTCTCTCTCTCTCTCTCTCTCTCTCTATTACACATGGGCTGTGCTTCCCGCTGAGTAATACTGCACGGTGACTGTAATTGACTATTCTGCCTTCCCTGCAAGGCCATTAGACTGCCCAGAATGACTAAGAACAATAACTCTATATGGCTCTTCCTGTAGACGTTGTACCGCCTGGCAATTGCTGCCATTTCAAATCAATTTCCCTTGTCACTGTAGAGTAACATGTCACGGGATTTAATTTTCCTAGCCGGCGACAGACGAGTGACACTTTGTTGCCACGGACAACGCTGAACTCTTTTATTATATGTTATTATTCATATTTTACAATCTAAGTCTAAATGATGAACGGCTGAATTCCGGCAGCATCTCGGACATCGGTGGTCCTCTGCTGCCATGTTGTGGTGAAGATTCATAATGACAAGCGGAGATTCTTTACCACCTGGACTGTTACTATCTATATTCTGTATATTGTTACACATTGTATCTCAGTATCTTCTCTCTCACTATAAGGGGAATGCAGCAACAAGGACTGTCCTTTCCTGCACATCGACCCAGCATCCAAAATCAAGGACTGCCCGTGGTACGACCGAGGCTTCTGCAAACACGGTAATATTGTTTTGGCTGTAACATAATTTATACAGAAAGGAACAAAATATCACCAAATAAAGTCCATTTCTGAGACGGTTGTAGCATTGTTTACCTGAGATATGGACTGTGGTGGGTTTAATTCATCAAAATATCCTTTTATTTAATGACATGCTTCCACTACTCACTCTTCATGCTCACAGTGATTGGCCTTTTGGTGGACAGAGTGAGACATAAAAGGGGCCTCTAGATATGAGAATTGAATGGCCGCATTGTGCGAAACTTTCCAGGATTCCTATGGTCTCCGGTCCAGACTCAGCAGTCTACCTCCTCCAGTCCCCCCCCCCTCATAGACATGGGAAGAGGGAAGGAGAGTACAGATTTCAGACAGTGAAGACACATCAGCTGTGTACGGCAACCAATCAGCTTCTCTCTTTCATTTTCAAACCTTAACTGAACAAACCAAAGAAAGAAGCTGATTGGTTGCCATTGACAGTTGCTCCAGTTTTGATCAATTCCCCCCATCATTCTGAAGAGATGTGTCAGATCACAACATCCTTCCCGAAACAGAGGTGGAGGCCTGTGACAACATCTCATTCTAATACTGCCCTAACAT